AAACAAGCCAATTCACTTCGTGAACTCGGCAACCAGGTGACCGTTGTTTTTATGACCTCTGTTTTTTGTTGGCGGTAATCATAATGGTGGTCGAGTAGATCATGTTGTGCGGGGTGGAGAACCCTCACTCCGCGCAAGGGGGATGATCGCACCACGTTGTGTTAAAATGGTCGAGCACCCTCGAGGCAGTTACACAGCAGTGCTTACAACTGTCTCAGGAAGTGAAAGCACTAGAAAATATACTAAGTCATGCGCAGCCGTCATCCGTACGCAAGGAAGTAAGGACAAGATGCCGGACACCCTCAGCAGGATGCAGCGCACCCTTCATGCGACTCGCCGAATATCTCACGGCGCTTCGCGCTTGGTGATGTGAGAGCCTGGTCCGGTGAGAACCCGGCGTGCTCCGTCCCGGCTTTGTAGGGATGCGAGGTCAATGGTCTAACGACTACGGCATGCACGACTATGAGTACACCCCCCCCCCCCCCCCCCCCCCCCCCCCCCCCCCCCCCCCCCTGTTTGCCATCGGGGTTGGGTTTTCGTCGCTTGGCAACGACGTTGTAAAACAAGCCAATTCACTTCGTGAACTCGGCAACCAGGTGACCGCTGTTTTTATGACCTCTGGTTTTTTTTTTTGCGGTAACCATAATGGTGGTCGAGTAGATCATGTTGTGCGGGGTGGAGAACCCTCACTCCGCGCAAGGGGGATGATCGCACCACGTTGTGTTAAAATGGTCAAGCACCCTCGAGGCAGTTACACAGTGCTTACAACTGTCTCTGGAAGTGAAAGCACCAGAAAATAAATTAATTCATACGCAGCTGTCATCCGTACGCAAGGAAGTAAGCACAAGATGCCGAACACCCTTAGCAGGATGCAGCGCACCCTTCATGCGACTCGCCGAATATCTCACGGCGCTTCGCGCTTGGTGATGTGAGAGCCTGGTCCGGTGAGAACCCGGCGTGCTCCGTCCCGGCTTTGTAGGGATGCGAGGTCAATGGTCTAACGACTACGGCATGCACGGCTATGAGTACACCCCCACTCCCCCCCTCCGTCTCGCACTTGTGCGAACGTCGAGTGGGTTTTACGCCAAGAACAGAAAAAATATGTTTCTTTCTGATCCAGACTTCAACATTCCTTCTTCATCACCGCGACCCCACACATACTGTACATACCCCCCCGGGGGAAAAAAGGAAAGCGCTTCAGATGAGGCCGGGGCTACCCTACACCAGGGCAATAATGCTGACACACACACGACAAGTATTGGAAAAAAATGAATAGGTGTGTCAGCATTCCGCACTATGACACGTTGCTTAGGTGTTGACTCTTTCCCAAACAAAGCGTGTTACCGCCGCCGCCGACGCGAGGTGTAAAAAACTGCTAAACTTACGTTACAATGTACACCCATCTTCAGGTGGAGGGTGGAGGGGGATCATCATGCAGTAGTCGATTTCCGTTGAGCTCATCAAAAGGACCACTGCTGCTGCGGCAGCGCACATGCCGGGTAGGCAGGCTGAGTGTGTGTGTGTGTGTATGCATTTTCCAATTTTCCCGCCGTCGTGCCTAAGGAGCGTGACGTGCTTAGTCAACCACGTCGACAGCTAGAGGTGTGCTATCCGTTCTCGCCAGCACACTAACAACAAACGAACCTCCTCCCTCGATAAGCAATTGGTGCGCGTCCAGGTCGTGGACTCCATGCTCGTTTTTCTCAGTGCTCGCTTTCAGTGCTTGCGGCACGTGCTGCCGCGCCCTTTGACTCCGCACGCCGCATTCCCCGCACTCTCGTCTATATTTTTGCTTCTTGGTGCGGGCTTTTACCGTCGGGTGGTGGGTGGTGGGTGAAACAACGAAATAAAATAGAGCGGTGCTTTCATCACACCCATCGTTAGGTAGTGTGGTGTCATGATTCCCTTCAAAAAATGTATGCATAGAGGAGGAGTGAGTAGTACTGTGATCTTTTAAGTGGGACGAAATGGGTGTCAATCTCAGTGGCCCATCAAACTTCTTCGAGCATTCATCGACGGTTTACAACATGTATGCAATGTATGTACACCCGCACGAGCACGTTGTTTTTTCCGAGCTTTGTCACTGCACCTCGCAGCTCAAACACCAACAACGGTCGCCGCCTGCCGACCAACATTTCGTTTCACGCCAACAAGTACGCGTGTGTGTCCACTTTGTGGACTCACTGAGGATGCATCGAAATACTTTACTGTAGAGCAGTGCAGCACTATCAGATAGACTCTTCGTGAGGCTGTTCCTTTTTCGTCCATGAATAATCCTTGAAACAACAACCCGCATTGCCCCAGTGGTGTAGCTCCGTGCCGTGAATTCTGAAAGCTTTCTGAAAGTATTGGATATCCAAGCTGTCGGTCCCGCATTTCAGCGCTCTTTTTGTTCGGTGCTGTATGCATATGCATATGCATAGTCTAAACATAAACAGGACGAGACACAATAAAACTATCACAACATATCAAGTCGAGAATCCCGACATCCCGAGGTCAATTCCATTCGTCCATTCGTCTTGTGGCTTGTGACTTCGCTCAGCCGGACGGCGTAATATAAGCCACAAACTCTCATAATTTTTCTGTTCTGGGTGCCGTTTCTCCCAAAGGCACCTGCACAAAAAACACGAAGAAAACATGAAAACATGAACTCCTCTGTGGATGAATCTCAAATCGCCGAGCAATGGATACAGGAGACAGACAGACCAAGTATCGCATCGTCTTTCAGCGTGCCTGAGAACCAAGGAAGCGCGAATGTGGGTATTGTCTTCAAGATTATATTGTCGGCGGTGGATGTATACACACTCCGTACAGCAGCATGGATGTATGGATAGGATTGGGACAGTCAGCCAAGAACGCGGGGTAGCTTCGAACCAATAGTCCTAACCAAAAAGGTACATTTACAGTTAGCATGTCCATAGAATGATTCGCGATCATGTTTTTCAGACGAGCATCGGCTGCAGACGGAAGACGTTGCTAGTTCAGAGCGATTCTTCCGTGTTGTATTTTTTTGGTCGTATTTTTCTGAACGGGGCGAACGGCACACACTTGCAGAAGAAACATTGTGTGTGTCTTCATGTTAGCATGTGGTGTGTCTGCGCTTTAGATACACCGCAATCCAACCTCTTGCGTATGTTCAACATCTATTCAGCACCGCGCAGAAGTCAGCACACATCACCCCAACTCACACGACTGCGCAGATAGAAACTAATATAGAGTCATTGCGGCTCGAGCAACAAAACCCCGCAGCTCCTCCGCTCTGCTGCTCTCTTTCGTTCAAGTTCACAGCAGAGTAGCATGCGGGAGAGCGGGTCAATGATGGATGTCGTGTGTTTTGTTGCTGTCGCCACGTATATACTCTGAAGTGAGTAACGTCAACAGCGAGAGGGGGGTGCACGACACGGCAAGCAAGAGGGGTGACTAAGCCAACACCGGCAGCTTGGGGTCCGCTCTTTTGCCCACACGGTGACTTACCGAGCGGCCATAGCCTTGGCTTCTCCCTCCGTAAATTGCCTGCCCGTCCCGAGGTGCTCTGTTAGCGTTCCTCCTGGCATGTGCTCGTAGATGAGGTACCAGAATCGTTCCTTTGGCCGGAGGACAAAAACAGACAAAAAAAAAAGTTACATGTAGGTGCAACTCTCGGGCAGTGGTGGAACCACCCACAATTGTAGCATGTTCAAACGGCAGGAAGACTATCGCGGCACGATGCCACCGTACTGACAAAACTATGGGGCCTTAAAGAGGCAACAACGCCAGATAGAGGACAGCCGAAAGATAAAGATGCAAATTGAACGCAGGTTGGTTTGGCAGCAACGCCTACATGCTGGTTGGCAGCAACGCCGACTGGATTTCTACCAGAGCGTTTGGCACTGAGGGCGACTAAAGTTCTATCTGAACAGCAGCAGACCTCGGTGAGGTACCCAAGAAACGGAACAAGGACGGCATCACGGAGGCTTGGTTTGAGAGTCGATCGAGACCCGCACAAAGCGGCAAGGAACTAGCGTAGAAAGTTTTGCAATCCAGCTGGTGCCATACAGGGTGCGCGACGACCCACTTGCAAGCTCACCTCTGGCTCGGCGATGACGTCCTGCAGCGCCAGCACTGCCGGGTGCTTGGCCCTTCGGAAGGTTCGAACATCTTCGCCTACCTGAGCCCTCTCTGCCTTGGTCAGACCGAAGACGAACAGGCACTTGACGAGGCACTTCCTCCCTGGGTACAGGACCCCGCAGCAGGCAGCAGACACAGCACAGAGAGCGCAGGCGGCGAGGTCAATCAAACACTCCAGGCGAAAGAGGGGGGGGGACGGATTACGATCGTCCGCAAGAGTGTACCGTGAGAGCTGCCAGGCGACCATTGTAGATGCAGAAACACCAACACTTGTTGGGAGCTGGTTAAAAAGGAGCGAGCGAGTATACAACGCCACGTTCAATTAACTGTATTACATCTAAGACTACATGTAATAGTTCTCACCTTCATCTCCTCGTGTTTGACCTTCGTGAAGGACGAAGGTTTCTGTCTTGAGCACCTCTTTGCCAAGCTTGAAGAGATCACTGAATGAAGAGGGCGGATATGATCGTGCCATGGCTGCACTTGTTGATCTCTCCACTTCTTCTACCTCTCCCTCAACCTACTGCAAACACGCGGTAGCACCTGCGATGCTTACCTTGTTTCTGACATGGAGGCGTTATTTATTACCATTTTTTTTATTGACAAGAAAAAAACTGTCTTTTTTTTCCCAGCTGCTGCCCCCATGCCCGCGTGGCGTGTCATCACATGAATCACAGGTCCATCAGTCACCTAGCGGCAGGCACACGCATTAGGAGAGCGACGGCACACAGGCGGAGAGACACGCGCGCACGAGAGGCAGCAGAGTTTGTGAGAAACCATGGGAAGGGGCGGCAGGTCAGCGCATGCCTTCGCGGCAGCCAGCGACGATAGGATTGTCAGGGCTCAGCACATCTTGGAGGGGAGCGTTCTCGCTGACAAAAAGACAGAGGAGCTCAAGCAGTTCGCCGAGGAGAGAGGGCTCAAGACGAGCGGCAAGAGGGAGGACCTTTTGATTGCCCTGCACCCGTTTAGTAAGGTGCGCCAACAGTGGTTGTGCTGTGCCTGACCTTTAGCTGAACCAATGTCGGTGGAATTTATGGTCGTCTGTGTGTCATTGTTGCCTTCCCGCGTCTATCCGTCTCGCGCGCTATCTCCGTATTGCATGCAGCTGGCCCATGCCCCTGGTTGTTGGCCCGGGTCGCCGGCCACAGGGTTTTGTCTACAAAATCTAGGCATGAGCACGTAGTAGGTGCTGTTTCCGCGCTCGGTGAAGGGACCTCTAAGGCTAATTTCCCTCTCTCTTTTCCACCTGTAGAATTTTGTAATTCTATGACGTGCGCATCCAAGCGATGATGCTCACGTCGCCTCTGAAAACAAAATTAAAACGTTCCACACCAAAAGATACATGCCAATTTTGTTTTCTCTGAACGCGGCGGTCGCTCTGCAGATGAAACGATTGATTGAGATAGCCGCGAGAGGCTTGTCCGTGTCCTTAGGTTGATTCGATCTCGTCGCTCTTGGGCCGTTTCGCGTTTCAATTTGGGACTCGGCCCACGTCGTCTGTTTGTTATTTTTCTTTATCCTTCCGCAATCCCTCAGCGTGACATGGATGGCACCACATGGCGCCGTATGCATCATAATAATTGTACGTACGCTGGCTCTTCACGTTTGAACCATTTTGTCTAGTTGTCGCGAGCATACACAGCCGTACGTTACAGCAGTAGTCGAGCGAACGCAAGCACCGCAGGGGAGAGCTGGGAGAGAGAGGTGGTACAGACACGAAATCCCTGCGTTTCCGTCCCTCTTTTTTAAAAGTAGAGCGCGGCTGACATTCCCACTGCATCCTTGAAAAATATGGCGAAAGCGTGCATAATGGCGCCGGAATTGAGGATGAAAACACACACACAACCGCGCTGAGACCGACGTCTTTTCATTGGTCAGCCGGTTAGCGCGGTCGATGCTAAAGATATAGTAGCTGTCGCTAAAACGAGCGACAGCTGATAGATGTAACTGTCGTCAGACGTGTGCGTCCGCGGGAGGTGGAAGAGACCCTTTCTTCTTCTTTTTCTCTTTGCAATTCACGTCATTGGTTACCCGCGACGGCGCTGAAGACGCCCATGTCCGTGTACTTGACCCTCGTACTCTGTGCTAACTCCCCAAGTCTAACCTCTTCCTGCAGCCTAGCCTTCATCGTCGGCGAATTTCCAAGGTTACCAATCCTGTCGAAACTCATGGGCTCTACCATGAGGTCCACAAGTCTCTTCGCCCTACTGAGACAGACGAAAGTAAGCCCCGTGCAGGCCTCCTTGGGCCCCAAGTCAATGACGGCCTTGGCTAAAGTCTGCCCCTGGGACTTGTGCATCGTAATTGCCCAGCAGAGCCTAAGGGGCAGCTGCGTCCTGACCTGCGTCCCCCCGTCCTGCCAGGTGGTGTCGACGGGAGAAATAGGGACACAACGTCTATACCTCTCCTGAGACGACCATTCCCCCCCCGAGTACCCTTCAAACTTGACGACAACGTAAAGGGGGAGCTTCGGCGGGGGCGCATCATCTGCGCACACCAACTCGACGACTTCGCCTCTAATGCCGTTCACCAGCCCAACTTGTTGGTACAGGTTCTTCGAGAGCATAACCTTCGCTCCCTTGGCTAAGTAGAGGTCCCTCTCGAGCCCCTCCGCGGTGTCTGCTGTCGCCCTCCTGGCGTTCGCGCCCGTGTGGACGGCGCTAACACGAGCGACGGGGTTGTCCAGCTCCCGGAGTTTCTTGCCGTTGTACTTGTTGACCTCTTTCTTGGAGTAGAAGAGCCTCGTTGCGTCCTCGAAAGCCGCTTTCTCAGCGGCGGTCAGGCGGTTGGGCTGTCTCTTCAGGAGGAGGTCCCAGTCCTCGTCGCAAAGCTGTCCATCACGCGCACGCGGCAGCAGTTCGATGAAGCCTCTCTGGTCGTCGTCGTTGGCGGCGGCTGCCGTCTGCCGCTGAACTCTGTCAAGGATGAAGACGTCCTGGAAGAGGCTGTAGGCGGCATAGCCTTCAACGTTGAGCGCGGCAGCTGGGTTTTGCTTGTACAGCGGAGTTCCTCCCACCGGTTGCAGCTGGCCCAGATCGCCGGTCATGATCAGGGAGATTCCGCCGAAGGGTTTGTCTACAGCTGTCCCTTGTCGCAGACGTCGATCGACCCACGCCATCTGGGACTGGCTGACCATCGATAGCTCGTCGATGATGATGTACTTGACGCCAGTAAGGGAATTCTGCAGGGCTTTGAGGCTTTGACCCTGGAGATTCCTTCCTTGCCTCACCGGCAGTCGGAGGAGGCTGTGCAGCGTGCTGCCGGCGATGAGGAAGGCCGCCATACCGGTTGGAGCTGCCCGTCGAAGGAAGCCGCCGAGCAGCCTGGAGAGGGCATACACGAGGTATGATTTCCCCGTGCCTGCCGTCCCGAGAACCATCATGCGCAGTGGCTCCTCGCGCTCGTTCTCGAAGTGGTCCCTGACGACGTCGTAGCAATTGCGTTGCCGCTCATTGAGAGAGTCCGGAGCCACATGAGGAATCTCGGTGGCGGGGCCAGTGCCGGCTGCAGCTTTCTTGGCGTTCGCAATCCACGTTGGCCCTCTCTCCAGCTCATGTTGGACCTCAGTCGCTCGGGCGCCGGCCCAGTTGTATTCAGCGTCCCACCTTGTGTCAACCTCCTGTTCTTCCCTGGCGGCGCCTCTTCGCCGCATGTTGGCCCCATCCATCCAATCGTCGGGCTGGTCTAAGAGCAAGCCGTCGTCGTCGTCGTCTTCGGCCGTGGACGCGGCCTCTCGGCGGGCAAGAGACAGCCGCCCTGCCAGCATGTCGCCGAAGCGCAGCTCGGGCAGGTCTTGGTTGGCTTGGACGAAGGCGTCCCACAGCAGGGCGAGCTTGGGTTCCTCTCCGGAGATGGAGGCTGAGGCATCCAGGTCCGTGACTGCCCCCATGTCGCGGCAGGCTGTTGTCGGCTCATCCTCCCATGGCCTGTGGGCGAAGAGGTTGTTGCGGCAGGCCTCAAGATGCCGCGCGCTCCCCGGAGAGCACGGCAGGGCAGGCAGCTTGATGACGACGAGGCTGCCCGCGCCGTCTCTCGCCGTGACCCCCCCCCCCCGGTCTCGAGTGTACAGCTGGTGGAACTGGAAGTAGCTAACATCCATGATGGATGGGTACTTGTCGATGACGCTGCGCCGGCCGGCGTAGAGGTCCCGCATGGATTTCTTGAGGGCGCCCTCCCCCGCCGCACCGTCGAGGTTAACCTGGCGTGTGCTGGTGGAAGGGTCGACGACGAGGCGTACGAAGCTGAAAGAAGAAGAGCACAGCTTGTTCCCGAGGAGCAGCCGTGCCGTCTCCTGGGCGGAAATGTCGCGCTCGCCCGTACACTTGAGGAACACGCTTCGCAGGACTGTTTGCGCCTCGTCAGCGTCATCGTCCGCGCGACCGATGGCCCGGGCGAAGACGTCGGCGGCGGCGGGCGACCGCTTCTCTCCTTTGCTCACATACTTCACCATGTACCGCACCGCCTGGTCCCAGTCCAAGATGAGTTGGAAGTCGATGTTCGCCCGCCAATGAGAGAGAGCAAGGCGGCAGTAGCTGTTGAGATTGCCGTCGTTGCGCTTGGTTTTGATGGTGGCTCTCACGGAGCCGTTGTCCATCTCCTCGAACTGCAAGGAGGTCTCGGGTTGACACTCGTGCGGGAAGCCGAAGCGACACCCCTGCCGCCCAGCGCGCTTGCAGTACCCTTCAGGACGGCAAACGTGGCGCTGGCAGCAGTTGATGAGTCCGTCGATGTCGGCACGGCCTGTGGCCTCGTCGCTGACAGGCCCGTGCTTGAAGGGGTTGACGGAGCATGGGTGAGGGTCTGGCACTCCCCCCGGATGGGCGGCGCGCTCCTCCGTAGACCGAGTGTTGACGGTGCAGATGAGCCAATCGGCGTATCTGCAAACCTTGTCGTCCGCTGTTTTGCCGTCGGCGACGGCTCGCTCCAGAGCCTGGCGTTCTTCCTCGTCGCCGATCCCCCCCTGTCCGGCGGCCAGGCCCTCGGCCGCCTCCATCCGTTCGGCCGCCTTCCTCCCAGCGTACGCTTTGCAGACGAGGTTGACGATACCGGGATCGTCTTGGAGCCAGGCACATCCGTGCGCGTGCGTGCTACCCCTCCCCTGGTACTCAAGCCTGTACCACAGCGACTGGGCTTGGAGTACACCGCCGAAAAAGGCGGAGGTGAAAGCGTCCGCCCTGTTGCCGAAGTAGGTGTCGGCGATATGCGGGTTTTCAATGAGGGCCCTCCGTTTGCCCGCTGGGGAGTCCTGGTACCCTGGTGGCATCAGGTCGAAGAGGCCGTCCCAGTGGGTGTCGGCGGCAGAGAGCGTGAAGAAGAGAGTAGCGCAGCCCTTGGTGGCAAAAATCGCCTGGAGCTCCTGCTGCTTGGCGTACCAGTACGGCCTAGACCCGGTGATGTTGGCGCCGTACCGGCACATGCGCTGTGTGAGCTGCTGCGCCAGCGGCGAACCCGACCGGAACAGATGCCTCATGTGCTCTATCGTCATGGCGGCGTCCCCTGGGTTTTG